AACAGACTAACTAGTTTAATGATAAAGTTACTCTGTGTGTGGTAACAGACTAACTAGTTTAATGACAACGTTACTCTGTGTGTGGTAACAGACTAACTAGTTTAATGACAACGTTACTCTGTGTGTGGTAACAGACTAACTAGTTTAATGACAACGTTACTCTGTGTGTGTCGTAACAGACTAACTAGTTTAATGACAACGTTACTCTGTGTGTCGTAACAGACTAACTAGTTTAATGACAACGTTACTCTGTGTGTGGTAACAGACTAACTAGTTTAATGACAATGTTACTCTGTGTGTCGTAACAGACTATCTAGTTTAATGACAACGTTACTCTGTGTGTGGTAACAGACTAACTAGTTTAATGACAACGTTACTCTGTGTGTGGTAACAGACTAACTAGTTTAATGACAACGTTACTCTGTGTGTGGTAACAGACTAACTAGTTTAATGACAACGTTACTCTGTGTGTGGTAACAGACTAACTAGTTTAATGACAACGTTTCTCTGTGTGTCGTAACAAACTAACTAGTTTAATGACAACGTTACTTGTGTGTCGTAAGACTAACTAGTTTAATGACCGTACCTGTGTGTCGTAACAGACTAACTAGTTTAATGACAACGTTACTCTGTGTGTGGTAACAGACTAACTAGTTATGACAACGTTACTCTGGTGTCGTAACAGACTAACTAGTTTAATGACACGTTACATGGTGTCGTAACAGACAACTAGTTAATGACAACAGTACTCTGTGTGGGTAACAGACTAACTAGTTTAATGCAACGTTACTCTGTGTGTCGTAACAGTACTAACTAGTTAATGACAACGTACTTGGTGTCGAACAGACTAACTAGTTAATGACAACGTTACTCGTGGTGGTAACAACTAACTAGTTTAATGACAACGTACTCTGTGTGTGGTAACAGACTAACTAGTTAATGACAACGTTACTCTGTGTGTGGTAACAGACTAACTAGTTTAATGACAACGTTACTCTGTGTGTGGTAACAGAGGCCCAGGAGAGACCCTACTATGCAGACTACTCCCCGGTGCGTCTCACCGTCCACACGTTGTGTACCAGCCACTACCTAGACCTCTTCATCACCGTCATCATCGCCACCAACGTCCTCACCATGAGCATGGAGCACTACAACCAGCCGCAGGTAACTATAGCAACCACTCTACATGGGTAACTATAGCAACCACACAACACTACAACAGCCTCGGGTAACTATAGCAACTACACAACAGTACAACCAGCCTCAGGTAACTATAGCAACCACACTACACAGGTAACTATAGCAACCACACAACACTACAGCCAGCCCCAGGTAACTATAGCAACTACACTACACTGCAACCAGCCCTAGGTAACTATAGCAACCACTATACACAGGTAACTATAGCAACCACACAACACTACAACCAGCCGCAGGTAACTATAGCAACCACTCTACACAGGTAACTATAGCAACCACACAACACTACAACATCCTCAGGTAACTATAGCAACCTCACCACACTACAACAGCCTCAGGTAACTATAGCAACCACATTACAACTATAGCAACCAGACTGGTAACTATAGCAACCTCAAACCGGTAACCAATGCAAGCTCACACACTGGTAATCATAGCAACCACAAAGTTAACTAGGACAGTCGGGTAGCTATAGAAACGAGTGTGACTTTGTGTAACAGTGTGTGTGTGTGTGTGTGTACCCAGTATCTGGGGGAGGGGTTAAAGTATTGTTAACAGTGTGTGTGTGTGTGTGTGTTTCCAGTATCTGGAGGAGGGGTTAAAGTATTGTTAACAGTGTGTGTGTGTGTGTGTGTTCCCAGTATCTGGAGGAGGGGTTAAAGTATTGTTAACAGTGTGTGTGTGTGTGTTTTCCCAGTATCTGGAGGAGGGGCTAAAGTATTGTTAACAGTGTGTGTGTGTGTGTGTTCCCAGTATCTGGAGGAGGGGTTAAAGTATTGTTAACAGTGTGTGTGTGTGTGTGTGTTCCCAGTATCTGGAGGAGGGGTTAAAGTATTGTTAACAGTGTGTGTGTGTGTTCCCAGTATCTGGAGGAGGGGTTAAAGTATTGTTAACAGTGTGTGTGTGTGTGTGTTCCCAGTATCTGGAGGAGGGGTTAAAGTATTGTTAACAGTGTGTGTGTGTGTGTGTTCCCAGTATCTGGAGGAGGGGTTAAAGTATTGTAACAGTGTGTGTGTGTGTGTGTTCCCAGTATCTGGAGGAGGGGTTAAAGTATTGTTAACAGTGTGTGTGTGTGTGTGTTCCCAGTATCTGGAGGAGGGGTTAAAGTATTGTTAACAGTGTGTGTGTGTGTGTGTTCCCAGTATCTGGAGGAGGGGTTAAAGTATTGTGTAACAGTGTGTGTGTGTGTGTGTTCCCAGTATCTGGAGGAGGGGTTAAAGTATTGTTAACAGTGTGTGTGTGTGTGTGTTCCCAGTATCTGGAGGAGGGGTTAAAGTATTGTTAACAGTGTGTGTGTGTG